CGGTCAGATGAAACTTTTCGCACCACTTTTCAACTATTAATAGGGCCGATTGTGTTAATTCGCAGACCGTGCTTGTGAATTTACCCGTTACTAAGATGGCTAGGTCATCTGCATAACCGATTGTATAAAATCTGTTGTCGTTGAGCAGGGATATGAGGTCGTTAACTACGAGGTTCCACAAAAGAGGCGACAGTACACCTCCTTGTGGACAGCCTTTAGCAACGATGGCTCCCTGTTTGTTGCTATTTCCCAGCCGGACTACTCTATTTGCGAGCATGTGTTGAATCCAGTTTGATATTACTGGGTTCACATCATGTCTGTCGAGTGCTGCTCTGATGCTGGTGAAGTTAGTTTTATCGAAGGCTCCTTCATGTCGATAAAGGTGCCTAGGCATATGTCTTTGGTATCTAACGCCTCCTCGATCTTGCATACTACAGCGTGGAGGGCTGATTCCGTTGATTTGCCTGAACTATAGGCATGTTGGTTCCTATGTAGAGGTGTTTTTACTAATGCATTGTCTCTTAGGTATCTATCACATAGTCTTTCCATAGTTTTAAGTAGGAATGATGTGAGGCTTATTGGTCTGTAGGATTTAGCATCCGTGTAGTCAGACCTGCCGGTTTTTGGTATGAAGATTACCTTGACCTCTCTCCAGGTCTTGGGTACGTATCCAAGAGCCAGGCAGGCCTGATATACTCTATTGAGTATATGGAACAGTTTTGGGCCTCCCCATTGTATAAAAGCGGGGTAAATGCCGTCTAGGCCTGGTGCCTTGAAGGGCTGAAAGCTTTTAATGGCCCATGCTATTTTCTTTGGACTTATGACCTCCGTTGCAAGTTGCATGGATGTGTCTGTTATGTTGTGGTTGACATCTAACCATTTGGTTTCGTTAATCATTGAGCAGTCGGGAAAGTGCGTCTGCAGAAGTACTCGGTGTGCTTCTTCCAATGATTTGGTATATGTGCCGTCCGGTTTCCTTAAGGAACCCAGTTCCCGCTGTGGTTGTCCGGTAAGAATTTTACGAATTCTGTTTGCCTGTATAAACGATTCTATGGACTCACAGTATTTTCGCCAAGCACGATTCCTCCAGTATCTTATTCGTTTTTTGTACTTGGCTTTAACATTTTTGTAGTGGTCCCAATCTAGATCGTTGTATGTATTCATAGCTCTATTGAAGGCTTTCCTGACCTTGGTTCTAAGGCGTTTTAACTCTGGGCCCCACCAGGATCCTCTGTCAAGTGGGTTTGACGGAGGATAGGTTAGTGGGCAAGTTGCTTCGTAACATGTAGTCATTAACTGCGTTAGTTTAGTGACCAGTTGTTCGATACTATCCGTGTCGGTTAGTCTGTCAGGGTAGTCAAGTGCCCGTAGGCCGTCGACTAGTAGTTTACGAAATTCATCTTTGTTTGTCTTTCGTACGTTCCTAAAGGGTTGAGGGGGTGTAGTGGATAAACCTAGTTCAAAACGTATCCATCTGTGGTCTGAGCAAGAGGCTTCATCAGACACATGCCAGTTGGATATCAGTTTGGCACCCCCGTCGTTTGCTAGCGTGAGGTCAATAATGCTATTGGCACGTCTTGTTACAAAGGTAGGCTTGTTGCCTGTGTTAATAATGTCTAAGTTAGTAGTTGATAAGTATTCAATTAGTATCCTACCTCTGACATTTGTTTTTCATTACCCCAGATCGTGTGATGGCAGTTAGAGTCTGTGGCAACGATGATGTCTAGCCCCTCTGCTTCGCAGTAGTTGACGAGTCGCACCAGGTCTTGTGGGGGGGGGTCCTCTCCATCCGGCATGTAAACCGATGTGAGGACTACTTCCCGCGACGTCGTCTGGGTTTTGGCTGTTTTTATTGTGCAGATGTCTCTGGAACAGAAGTCGGTTAGGACCTGCACAGGAATGTTATTTGAAATGTAAATAGCGGCCCTTGTCTGGGGTTCGTTGCTTGTTATTAGCTTACCTTTAAGGTTGTTCAATCCTTGTATCGACCCTGACCTAGATAGCCAGGGTTCTTGGATGAAGGCTACGACTGTGTTGTTTACCTCCAGCCACTTGCGTAGCTGCGCTGTAGCGGTGAGACTGTGGTGGAGGTTGATTTGGAGAGCTCGACTACTTGGTAAAGGGGACTCCGTCATCAGAGTCGTCATCTCCTGTACCAAGATCGAGCTCCTCCATCCCCTGGGCCCAGTCCCCGATGCTCTCCGCCTCATCACTGACGCTCGCCATTTCGACGACTGTCAGATCGTGCGGTGAGTCGGAGGGACCCGGAGGAGGTACGCTGTTGTCCCGCCGCTGGTGCTGGGGTGCTGTTGCTGATCGGGCTGCTCCGTTGGGGTGTCCGATGGTTCCATAGCCTTGTTGTTAGCATCGGCTTGTTCCGGCGGTAGTTCAGAGAACCTGCCCTTCCGTAATTCGAACTTTACGTAGACGGCGCCCAGTAGGTAGCTGAGTTGCCGTCCACGTTTAATTATTTCAGGGATCAGGTCCTCTGGTATGCTAACCACGATGAAGGTTCCCGAGGTTTGTTGTTGAGCAGTGTGTAGTAGCCAGCGCTCCACTCCTGCCCACGGGTTAAAATATCGGAGAGCCTCACCCATTTGGCTGGTTTCAGCTTTCCCCGGTATTAATATGCCGCATCTAACTTTCTTAGGGAGATCCGAATGTTTCCGGACCTCTACCTTAACTCCCGAAGTTAGCGTGTGACCATGTATTGCTGTTTTTAGCCATTCCATGGCCTCCGCATTTGTGCACCATATTTGTAAGGATCCACCAAAATAGGAGGGTCTACCCTGAAATGTTGGTGGATTGTTTGCTTTGGTCTGGACTAGAGACCAGAGTTTGCTGGTAAGCACCTCCTGGACCTCTTCCGCCTGTTCTTTGCTCAGGTGTCCCAAGTTGTCAGCTGTGATTGCCGCCATAAGGTCAGATTTAGCGGCCTCAGCATAACTTCTTGGGGTGGCACCCGTGCGCGCCTTCTTCTTTGCTCCACTAGGGGTCATTGTCTCGTCAGGACGATGCCTCTTGTTAGTTCTGCTGCCTCCCTCAGTGGAACCAGAGGTCCCTGCCTTTAGGGGCTGCGTGCCACTCGCACTTGGTTCCGAGGTTGAAGTGCCTTGCGTGGTGTTAGGTGCAGATGTTTTGGATGCAGTTTTGGCCTTCAGCTTGCGCTTCCATCTGGTAGCTGCGTTTGGCCTCTTTCTGAGTTTTTTACCTGGTTCCTTTGCTTCAGCATTACCAGTGTTTGGTTGATTAGCCTCCGAACGAGGGTGCTTGTTTGTTTTGCGGGAGGTTACCACCGTCCATGGACCTCCTGCCGTTTCGGGGCTTGTGTGGGTGGTTGCAGGTGCTGCCGTGGCCGCCTCCTTCCCGGCTGTCCCGATTGCTTTCGCGTTGGCAGACGGGGGCAGTACCAGTTTCCTGGATGCCTCCTCGTTAGCTTCAGCGGCGGCTCTCGTTGAGTCGGTCTGGGGTGCCGGTGGGGCATCTACAACCCCCCTCATTCCCTTGCTGGTTGCTCCGGCCCCACTCATAGATGGGGGGGCCTCCAGTGATCTGGTTGCCACCTCGCCACCAGTGAGCGCGGTCGGCGCAACCGACTTGGGGTGGCCCTTGCTAAATGAAGTAAGGGGGCCTTGTGTGGCCTCCACTGACTTCATTTGTTGGTCTTGACTAGGGGTTGGTAAGGCTGGCTTGGGAGCTTTGGGTTGCCCCTTAGTTCCTTTACCTGCTTTACCTTTACCTCCTTGTTGGCGATTAGCGTGGGAACCTCCCACAGGAAACCCTGTGCTTGGCTCACCGGACGCGTTTGTTTTCTTAGGTTTAGCAGGGGCTTCTTTGGGATGTCCCTCAGATGCCACCTTTGCTTTGAGTTCTATGAATCCTTGATTTTCCATAGTTTGAGTGTTGTAGGATTCGTCTGCCAGGCTTCCCACCCTCCACGGAGCCCGCAACTGGGAGTACTCTTTGAGCACTAGGACTACCTAGCAGATATAGGAAAGGAGGGGTGGCGTACAGTGCGACATCAGGAGCTCAGACGCACGTGCCCAGGGGCCGCATGCTGTGTGTGGCTGGTAGACCGGATTCTGGTCCAACCAGTTGTTCCACACACCCTTACTCCATCAGCATGACCTTCCGCTTCCCCCCCCTCACCTCACCTACGGCCCTCTGACGGGACGTAAAGCCGTTTCCCCCGAGCTGGTTAGACTCAGGGGTACTGTTTAGTACGAAATCGGGACCAAAGGGGCGTGTTGCCGGCTGGTCTGGCGCGACTCAACCTCCCAGGACTCCGTCATCCGCACGTGCAGCGCTCAACTGCGCAGGCTCTAGCGCAGGTAGGCGATTATATCAATAGAATTAAAATAACTGATAAACGTACATAGATAACGGGCTATCTTATTTCGGTGCATGCCCAGGCACATAGATATGTATAATGAATATGATAAACATACATATATTTATTTTAAAGATATTATAATAGTCACAGCCCGCCTACTAGCCGTGATGTTTTTATATAGTACAGTGATATTAATTGTGGGGAAAACAATAAGAGTAGACTACACATTAATAGTTTTACATATATTACATACACTATATATTCCCCTGGGTTGAACCGTCCGGTGGTTTCAGTTATGTCTATTTCGGATGGAAATAAACCTATAACAGGGCTGGCAACCTCGAGAAGGCTAGTCCACCGAACTTGCCTTGGGGATCTTTGCGACCTGCGCTACTCCCAAGACCAACGCCCCCCTACCATCTCTGAAGGAGGTAGTAGGGTAGGCCTGCACCTAAACTACCATGCAAAGACATGTCGTACGGAAACCGCAAAAGCCTAGGCCCAGACCCGCCCCATTATTCACGGAATAAAAGACAACATAAAAAAATAAAACTATTAAAAAAGTTTAAGACTTGATATGAATAACAATATTATATAACCTTTAACTTACTTAAATTACTTTTATAATGTAGTTTATTATTTACAATGTGCTTTATGGCTGTTTCAGAATGTTTGGCTCAAGCGGCGCGTGTGCAGCGTGCGGGCAGGCCATCCCCGCGAGTGAGTTTGTGATGCGGACAAACGCACCTCAGCAACCTCTCCACGTCTTCCACATAAAGTGCTTCGCGTGCTCAAAATGCGGCTCACACCTCATGCAGGGCGATAGGTGAGAGTAGTAATTTTTTTCAAAATTGATATTTACTTAATAATATCTTTTGATGAACGTTGAATTTATTAATTTGTACTCCAGTCATATTTATAATGTTTATGTATTTAAAGTTATATATGTATAGTGTATCAACTATCTGGTATTCATAACACAATCCTCGTTGTTGTGTGTTAACTTCCCAACATATTTATGATTTATATTTATGTTCTGTTATTGCGAAAATTAAAAATTTATTAAGTTTTTATGCCTGTACATTGGATATGTATGTATTATGGATTCAGAATGTATAATCAATTTTTCATGTACATGATTGGACTAGTTTATTCTTATGTAACCTTAAATCACAATGTAGGAGCTGGGAGCTTTACTGGCGTGCACCGCGTATTGCAGACAGATCCACTGAATGTTTAAATGACTTGAAAAACATAAAAATTACTACAAAAAGAGCGCGGTAGTATATTATGTCTATCTTATAAGGTGGACTCACAATAACCATTTTTATGGTTCTCAAATTGGGTCTAAAATAATGCTGTATTTGCGAAGGTGTTTTTACTGATATGGTGTTAATCTTTATCTAAATAAATATGTTAGACTACTAAAGCACTTAATTTAAATCAAAACTGACCTTTACACCATTTAAATTAGATGAATATCTTAGAAGATATCACAATCAAAATAACTTGCGAAACGTAATAATAATATCTTAATGACGACGACAGCGGAGGCAGTGGCAGATGGGGGCGAGGAGGGTCCTAGCATAGGTAATTGTTTTCTTTTGAGTGTTGCCTGTGGTGCCTAATTAGGTACTTAGGTAGTCAAAAATTCAGATATTTTTTTTCAGTATATTATATGGAAGGTTGCAATTGCATTGGTTTCGTTTCACGTAGTTAATCATTTTGAAGTTAAAGGTAGTATTATTGTTTCGTCTTTTCTTTAAATGGATACTTTTTACCGCGAGAGATTATCTTATTCCAACGGAAATACACGCTTACAATACAACACACAACAACTCATAATACCACAAATATATATGTATAATTAAAATTATGTAATAATATTATATAAATAAAATTATGTTAAATGTTCTATTAATATTTATTATGAAGTAAATATAAATCTTACATTAATATATCTATAGGTACTACATGCTCGCGGGGTCACTAGTTTGCGAACAAGATTGGCAAAAGCTGATGAAAAGTGCAAACGCGACGCCCGGTGCCCCCGTACGCAAGGGAAAAGTGGGTCGTCCGCGTCGCTCGCGCGAATGAGCGTTGCCCGCGCCCGCGCAACACTCGCACAGAGACTATGAGGAGGTAAGACTTAAACAAAATAATAATAAATCACTTTAAATGTCTACTTGTATACTAAATTATAATAACGTCTTTATAACATAAAACAAGGGTAAGTAAGACGAGACATATCAGAAGTAAATGGAAAATAATTTAATTAATTTCGACTTTCTCCCATTTAAAATATTGCAAGCATTAACAAGTAGAATGCTTAATGCTAATATAAAACTTTTATAACAAATAATAATCGATAGGGGATAGTCATTTCTGATATAACATGTTCGTGTCACAATTATCTGATTAATTATGAATTGAAATAGATACACATTGGTCGGTTAAACAGATATAATAAATAATCAGAGTAACTATGAAATTATATTCAAAACGTTCGTATTTAATCTATAAGCTCACCGCAAGCACTAATGACAATTACCAACCATGATTAGTTGTAGGCATATTCTATTATTATTTATTACATTGATTTAACACTTTTCTTATATTAAGTTAACACTCACAACTTCATCTGCATTGAAATTATAAAATAATATCTAGATCATATCAAATATATGGAAACCAATAGTTTAAAAGTATTTCTATACTAGCATTGCCCGCGGCTCCGCCCGCGTTCAGGTGACCAGAAACCAAATTCTTAGGTTTTATATATTAGTATACTCTTACATTACAGTTTTTGTATTTTTTGTCAGAAATGAGACATTTTACCGCGGTAAAAAGTATCCTATATGTTGACCCGGATAACCAGCTATCACCATACCAAATTTCATCAAAATCCCTCCTGTGGTTCTTCTGTGATGCGGTAACAGACGGACAAAAATTCTAAAAAGTATAGATTCGGCCTCTGTATCGATGATGTTTATTTCAATAAAATTTTCCAAAAAATATTTAATGTACAGATTCGGCTTAGTTACAATTTTATTATATGTATAGATATACTGGTTTGAAAAATTAAAAAAATAATTAACCACACTTTCATTTGCAAAACTACTTACAGCGAAATAACGTACCTATATTAACTGTTAACTCGTGTGTATTAAGTAGAAATCATGCCATTTAACATCAAATTTAAGATCAAACCTATTTTTATTTGAATTGGATTTTAAAAACACAAAGTCCTTAATAGTTTTCATACAAGAGATGAATAACTCTTAATTTACATGAAAAACATGTAATAATTTGTTACGGGACGTGAACATCCTAAGGTTTTTTTTTATTTTTTATCTCAGTATTTCGTCTCGTATAATTTCCAAGGTCACCCACTTTTAATTCTGCTATCTAATAACAAAAGTTGAGGTTTGGTAAGAAATTTGACACCAAGGTATATTATCTTTCTATCTTATTTATGTCCTCGGCTCATGGTCAATCTTCTTAATTACCTATTCCGTATAATTTCGAAAGAAATAAATAGCTTAAGTCTGTTCTTTTGCTATTTTTTTAATCTTAAATATTTTTGATACGCTTGTATTAGCTTCACCTGTATATCTATATATTTATGTAACGGAATCTATGAACGTGATTTTCACGTACTTCAAAACTTCAGATTGAACTGAAACTTTGCACTATTAACAACGACCGAAGACCATAGAACAATTTATTAAAAAAAAATACAAATAAAACACGAGTAGGTATATTGCAGATCAAACTAAAAAATAGAAAATAAATTAGTAATTACATATTATAGTTTAAAAAACTAAAAAACACACTTTAATAATGAACTTACATACAAAGAAACTAACAATTGAATTGCGTACCTCTACCTTTTTGAAGGCAGTCCAAAATATTATACATACCTCATTTAAAATTCGCAGTTGGTTAAAACATTCCGGTCAAACAATTACGGGACATTTATTATCCGTGACTAAAGCACCACACGTAAAATATTTAATTAATTCCGGTAGCAAATATGGCATAATAAAACGGACATAAGTAATTAGTTTTAATTAAAGAGAACATATTATCTGAACGTAATGAAAATTTTGAAGGAAATATGAAAATTAACGATTAAGTTAATTAAAAAATCTATATTTCTTAGTATAAAAGTATTTATCGATAACTATAGGGGACTCTGAACAAAATGGTAAACTTTATATTAATAATGTAAAACTACTTCCGAGTACATTTTAACATAACATACAAAATGCATGTCCTTTCAGTGGCTTTAAAAATTCAAGAATCATAAACGAAATAGACAGATAAAGACGACGGGGAGCACGATGTTTTCGGATTCGGTAAACGCAATTTACAACTACGTTTCAAACAATAAGAGCAGGATTCAAGTATATTATATAGAAACAATTTACGCTATTGCGAAATATATAATATTGAAACTGAAATTGTTTTAACATATTCATTATATGTAGTTACATGGATTCACAAATAATTCAATTTAAAAAAAGCATTAGTTTTGTAGAATATTTTAAAAATTAACACTAACCGCTGTTTTGGATGCACAAAGAGAATTAAATTAACCAACTACGCACACAAACGGTATTTTCTCCACTGAAAGAACTGCTTAACGTATTAATTCAACTATGAGACGTGCAAGGAACATAGAGAAGTAGCGAAGAAATGCAATTAAGCTGCTCAATGAACACCACACAAAGTCCGCTTTGTTTGTATGAAGGACGCACTCGGCTGGAACGCGCGAACTTCGGACACCACGTATCGTAATGGACTAACCACATTTTAAACACCGAGAAACAAGTTATTCTATGCGTTCAAACTGCAAACAATTCTTAAATTTGTTAGTTAACCGACTTAATAATGGTAATGATATTTATAAACGCTGTGATGTAAATTTCTAATTGCAGCACTTCTCACAGGGATAGTTCATAGAGTTAATTATCTCGTTGAGACGACCATGGTCCGACCGCCGCGGGCGACTCCTCGTCTGAGCGCTTGCTTACGGCGCTCTCACAAAATGCTCTGTTAACCAATTCCAAAGTTTAAATTCGCCTAAACTTATTTCAGTGACTCATAAAACTGTTGTCCAGTACTACGAATGGAAAAGCTTTGGAAGATTGCAAACAACCGTCGTGTTGTAATTATATAATCTAAATAAGTACTTAATCCGGAAGGCGGAGGATTTATCACCGGGGCCTTTATTAAAACTATATTGTTAACTAGGTAACAAAGAGCAGCTATTACTTTGTGCGTACGACGACGGTCAAAGGCGCGATGGTAATTGGAAAACACCTGAAAATGACAGCGCCTTTATTGCGTGTATGGTTGGTGTAAAAATCAAGCTCGAGCGCAGGACCGCCCTCGCCACCGGCTCTCAAAGACTTGACCGTTCACCGGGCGCTTTGTAACGCTATTAGTCGGACTTGTCGAAAGTTAATTAAATAACGTTTTTCCAAATTACCCGCCGGGCTCGACATCAAAGTAGGCTAGCACTCGCTTTGGAAATCTTTCACAAAGGACCTGGCTTCGGGCTAGGCTCGGCGTCCACCCTCTGATCTCAGTCATGACGTACTGAGCTGGACAGGTGAGATCTTAACCTCTTTGTCAAAGGATAAGTAAGCGAGCGAGCCGCCGATAGACTTTGCCGTTTATTTATACTCGCCACAGACGATCTACATCGGTATTTGAGTTCAACAATCGTTTCACAAAGTTGGACATTTTGATTGATGACTACTGATATCTATCTATTAGCAATCTAATTCTATATACTGTGATCGTTCGTGGCACGCGAGATCGTTTGCAGTAAGTTAGCACGACATTCGAAAGTTACGTTTATTAAATATTCTCATTTGATTTCATTTACATTTATGGCATGAAATATTTTAATGTATTTTAATCATTTACAAAAATGTGATTGTTTTAAAAGAATTGTATAATATTATTGTTTTAGCAAGTGTATAATAATGATTTTTGTATTCAAAAATACCTACTTATATTTTAACATTTCAATTTGCCCAAGATTTAAAAAATGTCTTGTTTATGAAATAACGCTTTACTTATATTTAAAATCTAAAACTCAAGTCAAGAATGAAAATTATCTTTTTTTACGACTAAAGAATCGATGCCCTTCGTGGGAGTGGGTCGGACGTCGAACTCGCTACCGTTGCGTGCCGCTAACGATCCGGTGCTCTCTCCTTAATCATTTTTACACTAATTATCTGTTAAAACAAAACCTTGGTAAATATTTATAAGCTGCTTGTAACCTTGATCGAATATCATAATAATTCTAATAATTTTATTTTAAAATATGGCGGTTATTTAAATTAACAAGCAATTTTTATCCCAGCGTTTAAATTTATCACAGTTTCACATACAACTGAAAACACGTAATTACTCACGTATAACTAAATTTAAAATATTTTTACTTCAATAGTCTCAGTAAAAATATATACGTTTACATATTAAAAAAAACATAAACTATATAGAAAAGAAAGAGAACTCCTTTCTCCACATTTTGCCTTAGTAACGTGTATTTTTTTTTCTTGTTCTTTAGCTAGTACGGTCTTAATGTTTATTTTAATTACCTAAAATATGTATTATTCAATAACATACTACATTCACTCGTATCAGGTTAAATATCTAGCACACGCAGTGAGCTGAGTTAATTATTAAAGTAGTTAAAACTTTTATAATAACTACATTACTGGTATTACGGGCAAGGTGATCCGCCTTCAACAAAGTATGTCAAGAAATTAGTGTTTAATTTATTCATTGGACACCAGTTCGTGTCTCGTTTAGTTATTAGGAAAGTAGTTTAGCATCAAGAAACTTAGACATTAATTCTGATAATTTTGGACATTAATACGATAAATTATTTCTATACGTAATTCTAGGTATTGTGGTAGAATATATTCAGCTAAAAAAAAACTTCAACAAAAAACATCATATGAGTAAAATATAAAATATACCTTTACATTTAAAAAGCTATGGAGAAAATTTGAAAAGTTTAAACGACGTCGCCTGGCCTCTTCTACGTCGATTGCATTTTTATACGAGTAAGACAACCTCTTAGCTTATTAGAGAAGCCAGTTATTAGAGGTCAGAGGGATCTCTGCGGAGGCGACCGCGGTTTCGGAACGACTTTGTCCCAGTTAATTAGTTAAATGGATACGTCGCTTTCCGGTTGCGTCTATTTTATCGACTTTACGACTACAATAAACCTCATTTTCTTCTGTGATTCTGGAATGGAGCTATTCAAATTTCCTAAATTGAAATGGAGCTTTCTGCTATTTAATTCGGGATCGAGCAGCCGAACGAGGCCAGTGATGCACTTATGCACCGGCACATTTCCCACAGCCCGGTGCGCCGGATCCGCATCTGCACACGACAAAGGACATCCGCCCACAATAGCTCCATTAAAATAATGCAAGTAAATGAGGATTTGCGGAGGCGAGTCCGCCGAATCCGGTCGCGCTTGCCGAGGCCCGAGTACCGCTCACAATGCTCAGAAGGCCTCGTTGCGACGACGCTTAAAACACTATACACGAACATGTTTCATTAGCTAAGTGGGAGGCTTTTGGTGGTTGAATCTGTGTAATGCACCTAGCTAGATGCTGCGCCGCTTTTACTTAAACGCCGTAATTAAAACGTCCCCTCCCCCCTAAGGGCGCAGTTTAAAACTCGGTTCAACTAGTTCGGAGTGGCCAATTTAGTTTTAGTGTTTCGTATTTAAGATACAAATTTATAAATCATGTTTTTATTTTGCTCGGTTTTGTTTGTGTTTTTGCATTTACTTATATTTAACAAATGAAAGCTATTGTTATGGTTAAAGTGTAAGAATAGCGTACAATATGGAAGGCTCTTTAGTGGAAGATTTTAAAGATCTTTTTAATGTGGTTATGTGAATGAAATTAAATTTCTTTAGTATCCTTATCTGTTAATTAGAATTTTAATAATTGATTGTTTAAAATTTAAATTTTATAAAAATAAGAAAGTAAGATAAGCTAGTAACCCAATTTACTCCATAAATGCCATTCGTGCAAAATTTACAAGTTTCATCAATATGTAGACACAAACGTATTACGAAATATTAAATAGCAATACGTAGGTAATCATAATTTATAAAATATAACAATACAGATATTTTATTAATTAAATCGTATTCACCATTTACAGTATGACGCATTTACGGTAAATATTTAATTTTATATCCATATTTAATAAACCTTAGGTTTTGTCTAGATCCAAATTCCTATCGAATCGTATTATGCCTAAAAAGTACATCGATAATAACATTATTGATCGCTAACAAGGAAAATTGATTGACTTTAATGATCTTAATCGCTCGATTCTGTGCGTGTCGATGCCCCGTTCTGAGTTAATTTAATTGAAAGCGAGTTGAGTAATTAATTAGTGGGTAGCTTTTGAGCGATGTTTACAACGCTCGTGCATATTGAGATGTCCTACTGCGTTTAGAAGTATTATCTTATTCATATCTTGGCACATTGTAGTAGGTATCATTTACATAATTTAGAAGAACAATGTTATATAATTGCTCATTACTTTTATTAAGTTTCTATATGTTCGTATATTACTTTCACGATACAAGTGTATTTATAGTTATGGCTTTTGGTTTCCTGAAATAAATATTTTATACGAGTAAAAATCAATAGTGCAACTTGAAGAAAAAAAACGGAACCACCAATTCATTACATTAATTAAGCCTGATTTAAAAATATAATTAATGTAAGCAATGAATAGCACTTGGAGTGTGGGTACTCTTGTAATTAGCCGGCTGAGCCGCAGAAATGCGGTAAAACGCAGGTAGCCGCGTCTTTTAAGTACTGATTTCAGATGGATTTATAATATATAGTTACACATACCAGGACTCATGAGCAAATCATTAAAACAAATGTTTAGTATCACATAAATATTATACACATTTACGTAACAAATATATAATTAACGAACAACCCGCGGCTTCGCTCGCGCTAAAACTGCAAAAAAGACTAAAAAGGTAGGTTTCATACAAACTTTCATCCCCTATTTTACCCCCTTGTGGGATGAATTTGGAAAAAGCTGAAACAACTATTTATTAAATTGTTTTGAAGAGCATTAATACCAAGTTTCAAGTAATTCTGATTATAAATATTTTTTTGAGTTGTATTATAACGTGTTTTCCCGTGGGAATTAGATAATATCCCGCGGTAAAAAGTAGCCTATGTCATTCTCCAGCCCTCCAACTATCTCCACACAAAAAATCACGCCAATCCATCGTTCCGTTTCAACATGAAAGAAAGACAAACAAACACTTTCACATTTATAATATTAGTATGGATATACACTATTTATAATTAACGTTTTTACTATGCATGTTTTAAATAAGCATTGGTAATAAATTAAATAGATATATTGATCAATTGTACTACTTATATAGTCTCTCCATCTGGTTTTACGCGTGCGTGATTATACCAATTCGTTCATAAAAAGCAAATATCATGTTATAGTTCTATATTGGGTCGTTCTGTACTTATAGCCCAATCTGCTCTACTCGTTTGGCCGAGGAAAGTATCGATAAGTAACTAATGTCGTTTTTGATACCACAATCGCTAATATTTACGTATACCTAAGTTTAATCCAGTAATTGTTTTTGTCTTGTTTCTTTTTATCTGTCACTAATAGCTATTTAGTATATCTAACATATTAACTACTCAACGAGTCGTCTCCAAACAAACATGCCTACTCTATGTCGATTGATTTGGGAGAGCATCGAGACCTAATAGCATTTAATCCCGCTAAAACGCCCCACGATCCATAATGAATATTTATCCTCCACAGAAGTCGACGCATACTTTTATGACGAATACATATTTTAGTAGCCGACGTAATTCCGCTGATTACTTTCTTTAATTTTTCTGAAAACGCCGTAACGGTGTCTATGCAGAGTAAGTGTATTAAAGAGAGAGTAAACAGTAGAATGTTAAGTAAAAATCCATGTTTTCATTTGGAAAATGATTACTTTTATATAATATATTAATAATTTTCTAAATTTGTTTGAATTAAGCTCTTATGTAGAAATAGTTCACTTTTTTATATTTTTATATGTAATTTATTTTATTAATCAATATGTTCTATTCATTCAAATTATTGATTAATAATTTATACTTTTAGATATCGACATTTTATCACAAGAATTAATCGACAGTTTTGCCAATACTATTATACTAACTCTATAATATTATTGTATGGTTTTATATAATATTTTAAGGTTTTAAAATTTATTGTTGGACGACGTTTTAAAAAGAATATGTAACTACACAACAACTGTATTGCTTGTACTATGTTTTTCTTGACGCGGGACGCTTGCGCGTCACTCTAGTCTACTCTAATTCAGTAATTAATAAGC